GGATGCAACATGCGGAAGAACACATTCCCTCCGCTCTGCAGCATACTATGTGCAGAAGAATGCCCTCACTCCACTCTGCAGCAGCCTCTTGCTGACCAAAAGGAGTCAGCAAAGTTCTGCTAAAAGGACTTTGAGAGTCCTCAACTCACGTGCAGGTGCCCATGCAAAGTGGGTGTTCAGCAGACACCTAAGCCTGCCAACCTCTCTTAACTGGTTTTTAGTTAGAGGCTGTAGTTATGGGGCTTGCTGGAGAAGAACCCAGGTCAGAGGAAGAGGTCATACAGGTACTCTGCGTATAAAATGCAGACCTGATAGCTTTGCAAATGTACTGAGAGCAGAAGGCAGCCTGGGGCTGCTTGGGTTCATGGCAAAGAGCATTTGGGCTTTTAGGAGATGCCAAGGGCCACCTTGCAGTTGAGTTGAGAAATTGGCATTTATGTTGATAGCCCAGAGACAATGACACAAGCTTTGACTACTGGAACTCTTAAGACACAGTTGGTTGTAAGATGGCCCAGATTCTGAGGGTAGAAAACGTCACCATCCGGAACATCAGCATGTGGGGGAAATGTGTGGTTTACATTCAGGGGGGCCTGCTTTGTTCAGAAAGGTCTCTTTAGTTGAGTGGTTGGTTAAAGTCTGTTTTAAGAGGGCAGGAGGCTGAGCAGAGCTGTGACCCAAAACCTCAGAGACAATCTTTCTCTTCTTGAAAGAATGAATGTTCTAAAGAGCTAAGTTTCATCTTCAAGACCAGAATAACTTTAACACAATTTAAACTAATCTGGATATGAATGATTCAAATGCGAGTTCTATATGATATTTACCTGCCTTGGGCTATTAAACTTCCCTGGGCAGCTGCACTCTCTGGGCTCATGTGTCTACTTTTCATGGTTTTCTTTCTCTAGATATGACTGACAGTCTTGCCATTGTATTGGTTTCTCTCCTTAGCAACAACTCATGCTTCCTGGTTTTCTACTGTGAACAAAATTGCCACAGTTATGAGAACGGTATGCCTGTGGGGAGCCTCTGGCTCAATAGGAGCTCATATAAGAACATCAGAGATTTGTACAATATTTGGAGAGAAGCAATAAAATACGTTTTTCTATCAAATTGGCTTATAGCGACATTTTCGGGCCAATGGTTGCGAAATGTCTTGAAAAAGACACACCTTTTTCTCATATTGTCCTAAAGATATGCACGGTCTGGCAGCGTCCCCACCCAGCCCAGATACATGCCTCTTCTTAGCTTGTCTTGATGATGTGTAAGTGAGGTCCTTGAAACTCCAACCCCAGTCCCTGCCCTGTGTGGGTTTCCACAGGCTCACATTTCACTGCAGAGTGTCCTGCTTCAACGTATCTGTAAGGCCTGCAGTTGAACATGATGGGGTCAGGAACAGAAAATCCAGACCAGCCCACTCCCCTGATGCTACTCCTGCCTGCCAGCATGCCCAGTCACATGCCAGCCCTGCCTGATGCCAACTGTGGTCAGCCCCTGGTATCCGGGACTCATTCATCCCTTCCCACTTTCTTCCCAAGAATCATATCCCATAAACTCACATGGGAGCTATGGGCCAGCCAACCTGCTGAAGCCTCCTCTGGAAGCTTTTGTCTAACAGATGCAATGATGTCCTTACCTTAAAATAGCTAGCTTTGTGCTTGCTAGTTGGACTTCTGGTATAAAAGCCTGTTGGTTAGGGGTACCTACATAGATGGAAAGATTAGAGACACAAGGAATGAATGCAGTGGCCCACAATTGAGGCGAATGGTCCTGTCTTATAGAATGTGGGTGTGAGTCATCCAAGAGCAGCTCAGATGTCTGAAGCCCAGGAAATAGTCTGCTTCTTTGTGGGTGCTCTGTTTAGTATATTCAATATCTTTATGTTGTAAATATAATGTATTTCACAATAAAATGAACTTGAGGAAAGCATAAATGGGCACTGCATCATGACCCAATGGGCTCTTCTATGAGTCAAGGACATGAAAGGATATGAGCTCAATAGAAGGAATTTACAACTGTTGGCAGAATCTGTTGGTTTTTGTTCACTTCCTACTGCTCAATTCTGAGATAAGCAAATTTGTGAGATTGTTTCACTATGGCATGTCAACCAGTTTGAGAAAAGGGGATGTGGGGAACGTTTCTATTTAAAGGACCCTCAGGATGTCCCAGCCCTCTCCATGTGTTAGACTCAGGAGGGGGGCTTTAAGTGCCAGCCCAATAAACGGAAATACCTGGGATAGGTGGCTGCTTCCGTAGGCTTCTCTTGAGATGGGCAGAGCCTGTGGTGGCCATGGGTCCTCACCAGGGTGATGCAGTTTAGAATGTTGGGCATGAACAAAGAACTCCCAGTCCCACCCGCACATGGAGTGCATGGGAGGAAAAGAGCACGCGTGCCGCCTTGTCCTGCGAGGGCCCACCTGTGGGTGACTGCATGGCTGACGATTGTACGTTTCAGAATGCACGAAATGAGACCTGATCAATCAGTTGTCAGGAAAGTCCTTCTTTGGCTACAAATTCCTTTTCTCCAGTACACTAACTACCTTCTACTTTCTCTGAGTTAGTTTAACTCTTTCAAGTCATAGCCTGAACATCTGACTTACACAGGATCATTCATATAAAAATTTACAATAAACCAGAGATAGATAAATAGACAGATGATAGATAGATAGATAGACAGACAGGTAGATAGTTAGATAGATAGATAGATAGATAGATAGATAGATAGATAAAAATATTGATTGGTTGATCTCTATAAATCTATAAATAATTACATTAATTTAAAAAATCTAATGCCAGGATGGATCCATATTACCTGGCAGATTGAGACTGCATCATTGATAACTAATTTGGTTTTTGATTCTATCAGCGAGCTTTAATAAAAGAAAGTAATGTGGCCGAGTGTGGTGGCTCATGCCTATAATCCCAACACTTTGGGAGGCCAAGGAGGGCAGATCATGAGGTCAGAAGATCGAGACCATCCTGGCTAACATGGTGCAACCCTGTCTTTACTAAAAATACAAAAAAATTAGCCAGGCCTGGTGGCACACACCTGTAATTCCAGCTCCTCAGAAGGCTGAGGCAGGAGAATCACTTGAACCCAGGAGGCGGAGGTTTCAGTGAGCCAAGATCGCACCACTGCACTCCAGCCTGGGTGACAGAGTGAGACTCCATCTCAAAAAAAAAAAAAAAGAGGTATGGCTATTTTCAGACCTTTTCTGTCTGCAATATTTTATTCTTAAACAGAATCAATGTTTTGAAATAAACGTTTGGAAACATTTTTCTGTACAATTTAGCAAAGCCAACTTTACAATAGGTAGACAAACGTCTCCAAATGGCAAAGGCTAATAACAATTTCCTTATTTTTGGTACTTTCTCTGTATCCGACACTGGGGCCTGCAGGTACTTTTACCTACATTCTGTTTATTTGTGTATAAGAACATGGAAAACTGGGTTCCCCGTCTTGGCGAATAAGAAAATTGATGGTTCTCAAGTGACCTCACCTCTGCTGGATCCTACAACCAGAAAGGTGCTTTGGGGACCCTCTTGCCCTAGAGTCTTTGCTCTTCCCTGTATACCACACAGCCTGGCTCCACTCCACACAGCCTGCTCCCACTGGCTGGAACAGTGGGGACTCCAGGACAGAGGGGGTGGGAAAATTGCAGATTTCTGAGAAATCGATGAGAGAGGTTGGTGTTATTATCAGAGCCAGATAGTCAAGAGTTCAATTTCTTTTTATACATAAGACATTTGAGAAAGTACAGCAGGAACATTGTCATAACTTTTATTATTCCAGGGATTCCCAATATGTTTTTTTCTGTCCCAACACACAGGAAGGCTAGGACGCACTCCCACTGGCAGCAACGGTGGGGCCATTTCTCTTGGGCGGTATCAGCATAGGGTGGGGGACAACTTGGTGTAGTTCTTCCCTTATTTAAAATTGAGTAACTCTTTAAAGAATGTATAGGGCATTTCAAAATGAAAGAGGTTTAAAAAAATCAAAGAGTACAAAATGGATGGTGAAAAATTCTGTCTTCCACTCCCAATTCCTAGTGTTACATTGCCCTCTCCTGAGACGACAGTCTCCCGCATCTTCTGCGTCCTTTGAGAGATATCTGAGTCTGGAAGCATTTACTGGGGAAGCACACTGCCCTGCATTTTGCTTTGTTCACTAAATAATATATCTTACAGATTAAGCCACATCCACCCAAGAGCAACTGCCTCATTCTTTCTAATCGTTGCAGAGCATGGATGTACCAAAATTTATTTAACTAGTCCCTATAATGGACATACAGTGGCTTCCAGGCTTCTGATAGTACAACGTGGAAACAAGCCACATGCTGTATGTCTTTAAATCCACTGCTTTATAGAGCTACGCACACTGACCCGATAAATTGTTTCCTACCTCTGTATTTGCCATAGTATGTAAGTCGGCACCAATGCTTCTGCAATAGTAATCATAATGAACATTTATTCAGAGCTGACTGTGCACCAGGTACTGTGCTAAACACTCCACGTACATTACTATTTCATTATAACATTACCTCAATTTTCATATTTAAGAGTTATATAATATAGACATGTTATATAAAATATATAAATTATATAAAATATATGGTTTATTATAGAAATATATGCTTATTACAGAAACCTAAATAATATAATAAATTAAATAATTTAATATTATTAGTCCATCAGCCCAATTTTATAGGTGGGATAGTTTAAATGTAGCAGAGGTGGGATTTGAACTCAGGTATTCTGACCCCAGAATCAAGATGCTAACTCACTCACTGTATTGCTCACTGCAGAGAGTGTAATATGAGCTCCTAAGGACACCACCGAGCAGTCTCTTTCAAGCCCACAGCACTGTATACAAACGGAGCTCCTAACTGAACTTGCAGTGCTGTAGCCCTCAAGTCTGTCCCCAGGAAAGCACCATGCGGGTAGAAGTCAGTACATTAGATTGGATTCATCAGAGATTTTGAGCACAACTCTCATTTTATTTTTAGTACACACAGAAGTATTTTCTGGAAGCAGCAAGAGGCAACCAGGAGAAGCATGCCTGACTCTGTCTGCTCCTCCAGTGGAACAGAAGCCCACTAAACATTTCCTTCCCTTTGGGGATAGCTCTCCAAGCGATGACTGTCTGTCTAGAGACCTTTCTGAGCCCACTGAGAGACGACGTCAAAGCTTCCTGAAACCCAGAATCCCTTTTCCTGGGTTTCTTTGCCCCTTACAAGATGTATGCACATCTCCGCAGGAAGACAATGGCGTTCAGATAGAAAGCAAGTTACCCCAAGGTAAGGAGCGAGGGCAGCGGCGGGTGAGACCATTCTGTCTAGACATTCAATGGAAAGTGGTTGTGTGCCTACCTGAACCTCGTGCATACCGTTCACCTGATGAAGACTCCCCTTCTCCAAATGGGAGAGCAGAGAGGGGACAGGGCCAGCAAGTTTAAATGGTTGCCAAGTAATAACCTCCCAAGCACCCAGGAGGCAGCCCTAGGTGGGTCAGGGATTTTCAGTCCCACTGTGTGTAAGGCCAGTACCCTCTGAGGCTGACAGAAGAGAAGACCACACACAGGTGCACAGCACCTTCCTGGGCTCAGCCAAGGAAGGGTGGAGATGCAGGTGTGCATGGCTGCTCTGAAGGCAGCAGGTCTGCCGGGGTGACCATGGCCCCATGACTACCTAACAGGAATAATGGCTAAGGGGTGAATCCCACATGTGCCCAGTGCTTAACAAGCATGAGGCACTGGAACTCACGTGCCCAAAAGGTAGGTCCCAAACTCAGTCTCCCACAGAGGAAGAAACCAAGAATTAGAACATAGTCATCATTTCTCTGGAGGTCAGTTGCTGACCACTACTAAATGGTACAGTGAACAATGATATAGAACAGGAAGCAAGAACACATTGGAAAAATGTCCTGTGGTGCCAGTTATGTCAGCAGCATTTCCTATCACTGTAAAGAGGTTCTCAAAGCACTGTGGAAAAGAATAGAAAGAAAGATAGCCGCTTGGGTTGTGAAATGTAAATTGGTTATGGCAATTGAGAAAAGTCATTTCACTTGGAACCCAAGTTAATCCCTAGCTCTTAATTGTTTACAGAAGCATTTATTAAACACCTACTGTATGCCAGGCACTGTGTTTGGTATCGCCTGTCCTCTAGGCTCCCAGTTGGTACAGGAAACAGTCAGCAGCATAGCTGTGTCTGTGGTGGGCCATGGGGAAGCCGAGGATGGCCCCTGATACTCTGAGGAGGGTCTGTGCAGAGGCATCTTTGCAAGGAAGTGATTTTGAGCAGACTTGATTTGAAAGAACATTGCAGCCTAAGGGAAAGGCACCCGCGAAGCAAGGAGCTGAAAGGAAGAACAGGGTTGATTTGGGGACCTGTAGAGGGTCGGGGGGCCAGGATGCAGGGGTTGTGGGGGTGGCAGTGGCTGGCGTGAGTCTGCAGGGGTCACGTGGGTCAGGTCGCAAGGCCTTTCTAAACCCACTTAGGAAGTCTGGATTGAAGGCAGAGCCAAGCCTTTGAAGGGGAAGAGACATAATTAGATTTGCTCGAGAGGAAACTACTGTCTCGTGTGCAATGTGGAGGACAGATGGGAGAGGAGCGTGGTGGGGGCTGAGGCCCAGCCAGCGAGGAGGGCGCAGCGTTACTGTGCAGGAGGGGCTGTGGCCGCAGAGACGCTCAGGATCCAATGGATGGGTCTGTGAGCAGTGAATAGGTGGAAGTGTTAGGGTTGGCCCTTGGGTTTCTGGTTCTGGTGCTGGGGAGAATGGTAGAGAAGGAGGCAGAGCAACTGTGGCTTCCTTCCCTGTGCACAGGGTGAACTAGAAAAAGTGCTTCCAAGAAGACATGGAAACAGTATGGCAGAAGCCAACATTAACTCTGCAGGAGAGGGGCTGAGGCTGATGTTAAGCCTGAAGGGGTGGCAGCGGGGATGGGGGTGGTGGGGGAGGGTTGTCACAGGGAAATCTTCCAGAAGGAACCAGAGCAAATGCTCAGAAAAATGAAAGAGCATGACTCGAGACCTTCTAAGTGGTGTGCTGTTGGTAGAGACCCCAAAGCGACAGCAGCAGGTGTGACATCCACCATGTAAACAGCCATGAAAAGTCCAGCTGGCTTGGGCTTGTAGGTAACAGGAACTGTGGGTGGGTTTTGAGCAGAGGTTGGACAGCTGACCCAGGCTAGGGAGGACCCAGGTGTGAATGGTGAGTGCTAGTCGTTGCAATCATTGTAATCATGGAGATGCCTCCCATGGACCTGTGAGCCTCCAGAAGGCCACCTCTCCATTCATTCTACAGAATGAGCTCCTTTTGGACACCTAGCCCATGCTGTGGAGAGATGCAGGGTGTGTATGATATGGTCCAGCCCTCCAGGGAGTCATAGGCTTGTGGGGTGAAAATGTCATCTTCCATCCCTACTTGATAATGAATGCTGCTGAATGAGCAATGTGTGTTCCCCGGGGTGGCATAGCAGAGGCAGGGATGGGTCCTGCCTTGGGAAGGGGAGGGAGGCTTTTGGAAGATTTGAACCAACTCAGCCTGGAGGTAGGAGTCTACTGGGCAGAGGAATCTAAGGGGCTTTATGGAGATAGGTGAGCACGTGGGCGAGGGGCGAGGGAGAGGCTGCAGTGCGTTTCAGAACTGGGGTGCTTTCAGGGAGCTGTGTTGAGGGAAGGTACAGTGAGGCACGTTATGAGCTCATCTGGGAGGGGTGGGCTAAGGACAGAGTGGAGGGTGATGGTTTGCAGGCTGAGGCCAGTAAGTGCCCAGCAAATACACATTAATCCCCAGTCCATCAGAAACTCTCCTGCCTGAGGTGCTGTTGCATCCATTCATTTCCTGACCTTTTCCACAAGGGAAAATCAAAATGGCCCCAGGAAGAGGCCAAAACCAGCCTTGAGAGAGAAGTCATCCCAATTACTTATGCCAAGCCCGTGGTTGTCTCCAGCAAGTACAGGGGAGGGCTCTGTAATTGAATACCGGTTCCCTGTCCTTATATCATTAGTGTAGCAAGCACTAGGTAGATTAATACACTGTCCCCAAACAACTGAACTGTAATAATTGGACAGGACACACTTAATATGAAGCACTGAATAGAAAAGTTTCTTTCATTTTGAGCAAAGCCATCCTGACCATCAGAAGACTAGGGAATACCTCCCTGGCATAATTAGCCGGTCATGAAGTCTGGCTGAATGCAAATGTTCTTGCTTGTGACCAGGGCAGCCGGGGGCTCTGTGATGAGGCTTGCATGATCCCGTCGGCTTAACGAGGCCCATTAATAATCTGCTGGCGTTTCTATTTTCAAAATTGTCTTCTGTGTCTAATGGTATTGAGGAGTCAGGAGAAAATCACCTGGTGCCCTCTAAATGGGATTCTAAATCTTCTCTCCTAGGAGATTACACATGCTGTGACTTGGTTGTAAAAATAAAGGAATGTAAGAAGAATGAGGACCCCACCACGCCTGAGCCCTCCCCAGCAGCACCCTCGCCAGCACCCCCCCAGGGAGCAGGGAGCCCTGGCCTGTCTGAAGACTGTTCTGAGCCTCAGCAAATGCCTGCAAGATCCTTGACCTTGCAGGTAAGGCCTTCTGTGTGTCCTGGCTTGATTCCTGCCAAGGGGAGAGATTTCCTGGGGAGTCCGTGAGCACGCAACCTTACTTCCACCACCTGACTTCACTTCATAGCAACTGTGTAACTGGACAGGTCCCCTAAGCTTTCCAGGACATGTGTCACTATTTAAATAATGAAGATAATGACACTGACTCCTCCAGGTTAGAATGAAGATCAAGTACTATCAGTAGTGACAGTGACAGCAGCAGTGATGGATGCTCCAGCATCCCACAGGTCACTTCCTAGGCATCAATGCCTCCAATCCATGCAGGAGGCAGGAGCCTATAGGGGCTCCAGATCTCAGCGCCTTCAGATGAGGACATTGAGCCTTTGAGAGATGAAGTTGCCCAAGGTCACATGGTCAGGAATAGAAGGATAGGAAAGTTTTCGTTTGGCATCTTTTCGCAGAAGTAGCATGCATACATTTTATAAAGTTTAAAAAATACAGAGAGATAAAACTTAGGAGGGCAAAGCACCTCAGAGAAAGCCTCTGCTAACTGTATTACACAGCTAGCCACCCCTTCTTAGATGGCACTTAATAAGGTGGCAAACCCTCTGCAGCTGCAGTAGTCGAGATGGCTCCATTGGCTGGCTCCTGTACCCAGGGGACCTGAGTGAGGCATTCGTAGTGCCCCCAACGTCTCCAAGGCCATTCTTGGTGGGGTGGGCAGCCAAGGCAGCAGCTACACCTGAGCGACCAGGTGTAGGGGTCATCTCTTTAGACATGGAACTCTCTTGAAGCGTCAGCACATCCAGTGATTTATACCTTTTGGTTCTCTGTTCCTGGTGGCTGGCACCATGGAGGGAGCTGGCCAAGAAGACTCCTTTCCCAGCATAGCTGCCAGGGGTACATACATGACACAGACTGAGCTCATGCTGCCTCCCCGTAGGCACTCTGAGCTCCCAGAGGAAGAAAAAGGGGGCAGAGGAACATTTCAGTCTGGCAGCACGCCCAGTGGGCCTTTGCTGAGCATATATGTGCAGGACTCCTACTGTGTGAGTGATACATTGTCAATGAGACATGGCCCATGACTTCCTGGAGCTCACGGCCTAGCACGGAGGTAAACGTGTGACTCACTGTTGCTCAAGGCCCTTGGTGAAGTGCCATGCTCTGGCCGAACAGGGCGTTTCAATAGGGCTTCCTGAGGTAGATGGAACTTGAGCCAATGGCTGTGGGTGGTACTTCAGGACGGGGACAACTTGAACAAAGACACTCCAGGAATAGTATGTTAAAACCATAAAAGGCAGTGCAGGAAAAGAACAGGGCTGCCATGGATGAGGTGTTACCATGTGATCTACCAAACTACCACTTTGCCTCTGCCAAATGCAAAGAAATATGGCCTGCCTTCTTGAACCGATGTGTGACTCCCAAGAGGTGATGCGTACATGTAGAGCACCCAGCCCAGTGTCTGGCGTGGAGTGGAACGGCAGTTACTCTTGTTCAGGAGACCTGTGTGAGTGGCTTGGTTTATAGAGGTGGGAGAGCAGAGGCAGAAGTGGAGATATAGGGACTTCTGACATGGCTTGTGGAGCTCAGAGGCTTCTGCATAGGCAAAGGTTTCCTCCCAGCTCATTCTACCCAGAAGGAGGAGCTGTTTTCTTTAGCCACAGTTGTGGTCCTCCTGAAAGGGCACATTTTTCACACTCAGCAGATGATCTGTGTCTGTGCTTCTTGGGGTTTCCAAGTGCAACAGAAGCAAGTGACTCAGCACCTCCATTCCCTCCACACCCATGTCTCTTTGGAATACAGAATGTAGGGCTCTTGGATTTTGGTCTTTGGGAACAAATGACTCAGCAGGGTAGAAGGATGAATGGGCAGACATTGCTCTGCACTCCTGGCTTTAATGCCAGCTGCTGGTTGATCCTGCTGCAGCAGGGGCCTCGGCGCTGGCCAGGCCTGACCCCCAGGACCTGTGGTGTCAACATGCCTGTTACCCTCTTTACACAAGGGTGTGGAAGAAAATCATGATGTGCTTTTGCACCGTGCCTTTTGGTCTCTGAGTGTTGTGCTCCCCATCGGCTTCTTGGCCACATCAGACAGATGTGTTGCCTTTCTGTGTCACTGCTCTTAAAAATGACATATTTTCTTTGCATAGGAAGCCCTGGAAGCTCGTAAGCCTCAGTTCATTTCTCGCTCACAAGAACGGCTGAAAAAGATCGAACACATGGTCCAGCAGAGGAAAGCCCAGCAGAAGGACGACCTGAGGCAGAAGCAGAGCCTCCTTCCTGTCCGTACCAGCAAGAAGCAGTTCACGGTTCCCCACCCTCTGAGTGGTAAGCTGCAGGGGGACTTGTGGGGACTGGAAAAGACCAGGGGTGGGGGGTTCTTGGGGCTGGAGCCTTCACTCAGGGGTGATGGTCCCAAATAATGCAACTGACATACACAGAACCTGTGATGGCTCCGGGTGACTGACCCTCAGCATCATAAAGCCTGTTCTTGGAGCCAGCCCATTTGAGAGATCACATATGGACATTGAACTCAGCAGAAATAACTTGGGACACAAATTTACCATCATAGCTGGGAAAGAAGCCACACCACTCTAGCAGCCAGGGTAGCAAGTTCAAAATCTTGGCTCCTAATAGATATTTGTAAGAGACCCCCTTTGCCCTTTATAGATTGCAAAACAGATCTCGGGGTGAGAGGTTGACTCCAGCTTGTCTACATCAACATTCGTCATCTTGAAACCCCTTTCCTGCTGTGAGGCTGGAGAATGCATGGCCAGCTTCCCAGCACTGTGAGGCCAGTGTCACACTGACCCTGTGAGGGAGGGCACTTATTCACTCACTGGAGAAGGAGTTATCAGGAACCTTCTCTGGGTGCCATGCTGGGAGCAAGACTGACCTCAGTCCCTTCTTCATAGAGCTCATAAACAGACTATTAAACTAGCAAGAATAACAAAAAGCAATGAGGGTAAGGATGGGGAACATCAGAGCACATACCTAGTGCCTGCCAACCCAAATCTTAAAATGTAGAGGCCTGGAGAAACCCCAGTTTTATTCCTTAGGATAGAGGAATGAGATCTTTCTTCCTAGGAAAATGTTTTGGCCCCTAGGAGGTGAAATCATGAGTATAACTCTGAATAAAAGTCTTTTGGGTAAATAACCATTTTCAATAAAGTGCAGCTTAGCAAACATTACCAAGATTTTATTCCGGGTGCCTGGGGGACTGAGGAAAAGGGTGTAATAAAATTCCCATGAACCTCTCCAGTCTATGGGCAGGCTAAGTCTCCTTCCCTCCACCCAGAGCTCTGCTGGTGGAGCTGTCTAAAGACCTTGGGGAACGATGAATTTGAATGGCTCCTCCGTGGCTAAATATTTGCCAAGACACCTGCTGCTCCCTCCTCATGACAATTTCCAGTATACCAGCAAAAGGGGATGTGCAGAGTTCCCCACGGGAAAACGTGTCTCCAGCCAGTGTTGTAAGCCCGTTGGCAGATACAGGCTCAGTGGGGATACATTCTCCAGGAGGCTGTTTCGTCTCTGGCCCAATAAAGAGAAAAGTGGGTTCAGGCACAGACTTCTCAAGTTGCTGTGAGGACCCACGCCAGCACCAGGAAACCTCTGGGGCCTTCAGTGCCTACACTGACCCTGGGCAGTGTTGTGCGATGGTGTCCAGGCTGTATGGAGCACTCACCCTTAATAGCTCTGAAGATGCTACTTGAGAGAATGGTTAGGCTACCAAATCTGTGGTCAACAAATATAGAAAGATATAGAATGATGCCTCTTTAGAGCTCAAGACATTCACATACACATGCAAAATGGCACTGAGGGCTTCCTCTCCAGTCAGGTCCCTTTGCTTTGTGTGGGAAGAGATGGAGACCCAGAGAGCTTAGGGAGCCTGATTAGTGAGGTGCTGCACTGAGCTCCTCCTCTCCTGGGCCAGCACCTCCCAGCTGTGCCATTCTGCTGGCCACAAGTGGTCTGGGACACCATCATCCCAAATGCCAGAGGCAATGTGGTCTTGGCCATTTGTATTGGTTTCCTGGGACTGCCGTGAGAAACCACCAAACACAGGGGCTTAAAAGAACAGGAACTGTCGGGGCACAGTGGTTCATGCCTGTAATCCCAGCACTTTGGGAAGCCGAAGTGGGTGGATCCTTTAAGCCCAGGAGTTCAAGACCAGCCTGGACAACGTGGAGAAACCCTGTCTCTATAAAAAGTACAAAAATTGTTTTTGTTTTTTGTGAGGCCCCGCTTTCACAGTCTGTATTTGTACTAAAAATCAAGGTCAAATGAGCTTTTGCACTTCTACGCCACGGGAGGTTTCTGTCCTCCCCGAGCTTGCTTAGAAAAGCACAAAAATTGGCCAGGTGTGATGGTACATGCCTGTAATCCCAGCTACTTGGGAGGCTGAGGTGCGAGGATCACCTGAGCCTGGCTACGTTGTGGCTGCAGTGAGCCATGATCACAACACTTAAAACAAACAAAGGAAAAAGAAGCAAGACCCTGCCTCAAAAAAAAAAAAAAAAAAAGAAAAGAAAATAAAACAAGCCCAGGAACTTCTTTTCTTGCAGTTCTGGAGGCCAGAAGTCAAAATCAGGGTTTCCACAGGGTTAGTTACTTTCTAGAGGCTCAGTGGGAAGTCCTGTGTCCAGCTCCCTCCCTGCTCCTGGTGGCTTCCTGCAGTCCTTGACGGTCCTTGGTTTGTAGATACAGCACTGCAGTCCCTCCCTCTGTCTCCACGTGACCATCTTCCCTGCGTTTGTGTCCCTGTGCTCAAATTTTCTTTTCTCATAAAGGCAACAGTCATTGGATTAGAGTCTACCCTCATGCAGTCTGACCTCATTTTAACTTAATTACTTCTGCAAAGACCCTATTTCCCAAGAAGTCACTTTCAGAGTTATGGGAGATTAGGACTTAATCGTATCTTTTTGTGGGGAGACACTGTTCTATTCATTATATTGTCCAACCGTGATGTTTGCCCAAAACAAATATCCTTACAAGTTCACATTTCTTTAAATGAAAATCTTAAAATTGTATATAATAAGAGGTAACCAGGCTCAGTTCAGAATGTTAACTAACTGAGCACCTTTTACTCCCAAAATTCCAAGACAGTCCTGGCAACCAGCACGCTCTCCAAGTGGGGCTTGGTCAACATGGGTTTTATGGCCACTCTGACCATCCCTGCGGTATTTATGTGTTGATGAGAGCTTTACTTTTGTGTTTGTTTGTGTTAGGTCAGTGAAATCAGACAACCTCTGAAACCAGAGCCTCGCGCAAGCTCAGGCAAGTGAGAAGGAATGTTTAAGGTCCCATTAAACAAGTCTGCAGTACACATCTTGTCTTCAGCCTGTCTGCTGGCAAGATGATAAAAGCAAAATGCAGATGTTTTTCTTACATGCTAAATTAGTTAATAAATCATATGCGTGAACGAGCTCTGGCTACAGTGTCAAGGCGTCTGCTAAAAAGAAGACTCCTATTTCCTTTTTGTGCTGGGGTAGCTGCCTCTGATCAGGGCTTGTCAAGCAGTCTTGCTCAGGAACAGATCTGAGAGGTTCAGGTGGGAGCCTGGTAGCTGGCAATGCCAGAGAAGCCAGTCCCTGCACTTTCAGGGGATGACTATGGTGAGAACCAGGGAACCAGCTGTACTTTATGTTAGCTAGTGAATTCTGAGGACCTTTGAGGCTGGGGGAAGAGTACTTCATGTGTGTTCACAGGCACATGTGTACATGCATGTGTGTGACTGTTAATTAGGGTTAGGGCTTCTTGTTTGGAGGCAGGAAAATTTTCATGAACAACTGGGAACTCTAGAGGGACCAGGAAGCAGCACTGTCAAGGTCCTAGCTACAGTCTGTAGCCTGTCTTGACTATCTTGTCACCTGTGGTTTGAACTCTCAGAGCCAATAAATACAATGCATAAGTCTCTGTCCTCACCCGGGAGCCACCTGGGCCACCTTCCCACGGCTCTAGCAGTGAGAGAAGGAACTTCTTTGCCCATCTCTTCAGCATTTCTTGTTTGAGAACCCACGCAGTGCTAGGCACAGTCCCCGGTCTGCCCACCTTGTGGGGAAGCAGGCAGGTGAGGAGGCAGTGGTCATAGGATTCTTGTAGTGCCATGAAAGGGGTTTGCCAAGGTTGTTGTGGAAACTCATAGATGGTAGCCTTGCTCCCACCTCGGGGAGGAAGGTTCCCGGCGTGGGGGAGAACCATGCAGACGGGGCAGGGCGGGTGAGGAGGGGAATGCACAGTGATGAAAGAGGGCTGGGGCGTGCAGTTTAGCTATGAGTGAATGGTAAAATGGGGGTGCGCAGGCAGGCGAAGGGGCCAAAGAGGAGCCCAAGGAAAGATGAACTGTAGATGCTGCGAAGTGTAACCTTGTTCTAAGGTCAAAAGCCAGGCTGGGATCTGGTAGTATAGTTTCAGGCAAGACATGGTGAGGGTGGGGCATGGGCAGGGCAGTGGTGTGAGGAAGGTGGTGGATGTCAGGGGTTCTCTGGTAGAGGGATCGGTGGCAGGTGGTGATTGTGAGATGTGGCGGAGGGAGGCTGACACCCAGGGATGTCAAGGGAAGGTGGCAGGAGAGCTGGGCTTTGCTTCAGTCTTAGGAATACTCCAATCCAGGGGCCTCTCTCCTCACCAAATCAGGTATTTACCTGTGTAATTCACCAGAGTTGCCTGGGAATGATAAGCAAGGCTTCGCCATCATCACTTCGCAGCTCCTGGGGTCTCAAGTGGATTGGGTCATGTTTAAAGGTTGGACATGGCCTGGGAATTAGCATATTCCAGAGTTTGTCATTGCTCTGCCTTACAGGATGAATCCAGAGCAGAATAGACTAAAAATAAGTGTGAAGCATCAGGTACAGCCCCTGCAGGTATTAGGGGGAACAGCCCCTGCAGGTATTAGGGGGAGCAGTCCCCGCAGGTGGTAGGGGACACAGCCTCTGCAGGCAGTAGGGGGTATGGCATCTGCAGGTCACAGGGGCACAGCCAGGGCAGGCCGTAGGTGTACAGCTCCTGTAGGCAGTAGGGGTAAACCATAGCTTCCAGGCAGTAGGGGTTCAGCCCTTGCAGGTCATAGGGACACAGTGCCTATAGGTCATAGGGGTACAGCCTTTGCAGATTATAGAAGGTGTAGTCTCTGCGGGTCATAGGGACACAGACCCTGTAAATTGTAGAGGGTACAGCCCCTGCAGGCGATAGGGGTACAGCATTTGTAGGTCATAGAGGGTACAGGCCCTGAAGACAGTAAAGGTATAACTCATGCAGGTCATAGGGGTAGAGTCCATGCAGGCAGTAGGGGTGCAATCCCTGCAGGTCATAGGGATACACCCTCT